GTCGACCCGTCCAGGCGGCCACCCTAGCGTGGCTCTCCGGGAGCGAGGCGGCGGCGCCACCACCAGCCCACAAACCTGGAGGCTCAATCTCCCGCGAGCGGAGGTCGCGCCGGTGGCCCGGAGACAGCGGGCCGATCTCGCTAGCGTCGCCGGCCTCCCGGTACTCCGCCTCGGGAACCGCGGCCAAATACAATCCCTTGCCGACATCGCTGACACTCCGGCGGGGACACGCTATCTAAAAGCGGCCGCCAGGTGGCACCCGACAACCGGCGCGAACAACAACGAGGCAGATCCGGATCGCGGGCCCGCGAAGGCGCACAGCCCGGCCGCCCGGCCGCCCGATCTCGTGGGGCACGGGCCTCCCACAGCGGCACACCTGCGGCGCCCGGGCTTCCGGGAGGACTTAAGACACATTTCGGCGGGCAAGGACCGTAAAACCGAGACCAAGCGAGTACTCCGACAACCACCACGGATGAACCTTCTCTCTTCTATCATTTTAAGGGGAGGAGGAGGTCTCTCTGAAGCATACGAAGAAAGCTCAGGACAGGAAGGGGGGGGGGGGATTGACACACACCCCCAGAAAGGTGCACATCAAATCCGTCTCTGCACGTACGCGATAACGTCCAAGGCCAACAAGCGGGGCGGGGCGTGCGGGGGCGGGGGGCGGGGCGCGCGGTGCGTGCGGGGGCGGGGGCGGGGCGGGGCGGTGCGTGCGGGGGCGGGGGGCGGGGCGGGGCGGTGCGTGCGGGGGCGGGGGGCGGGGCGGGGGCAGGCGCGGAATGGGGAGGAAGGGAGTTAAAATAGTCCTTCACTCAAGAAATCCAGTTCCGCAGAATAGAGAGCCCAGAAATGGACCCTCAACTCTATGGTCAACTCATCTTTGACAAAGCAGGAAAGAATGTCCAATGGAACAAAGACAGTCTCTTCAACAAATGGTGTTGGGAAAATTGGATAGCCACATGCAGAAGAATGAAACTGGACCATTTCCTTACACCACACACAAAAATAGACTCCAAATGGTTGAAAGACCTCAATGTGAGACAGGAGTCCATCCAAATCCTAAAGGAGAACACAGGCAGCAACCTCTTTGACCTCAGCCAAAGCAACTTCTTCCTAGAAACATCGCCAAAGGCAAGGGAAGCAAAGGCAAAAATGAACTATTGGGACTTCATCAAGATAAAAAGCTTTTGCAAAGCAAAGGAAACAGTCCACAAAACCAAAAGACAACCGACAGAATGGGAGAAGATATTTGCAAATGACATATCAGATAAAGGGCTCGTATCCAAAATCTATAAAGAACTCATCCAACTCAACACCCAAAGAACAAAGAATCCAATCAAGAAATGGGCAGAAGACATGAACAGACATTTTTCCAAAGAAGACATCCAAATGGCCAACAGACACATGAAAAAGTGCTCAATATCGCTCAGCATCAGGGAAATCCAAATCAAAACCTCAATGAGGGCGCCTGGGTGGCTCAGTTGGTTAAGCGACCGCCTTCGGCTCGGGTCATGATCCTGGAGTCCCAGGATCGAGTCCCGCATCGGGCTCCCTGCTCAGCGGGGAGTCTGCTTCTCCCTCTGATCCTCCTGACCCTCCCCCCTCTCATGCTCTCTTTCTGTCTCTCTCTCTCTCTCAAATAAATAAATAAAATCTTAAAAAAAAAAAAAAAAACCTCAATGAGATACCACCTCACACCAGTCAGAATGGCTAAAAGTAACAAGTCAGGAAATGACAGATGTTGGCGGGGATGCGGAGAAAGGGGAACCCTCCTACACTGTTGGTGGGAATGCAAGCTGGTGCAGCCACTCTGGAAAACTGTATGGAGATTCCTCAAAAAGTTGAAACTAGAGCTGCCGTATGATCCAGCAATTGCACTACTGGGTATTTACCCCAAAGATACAAAAATAGGGATCCGAAGGGGTACGTGCACCCCGATGTTTATAGCAGCAATATCCACGATAGCCAAACTGTGGAAAGAGCCAAGATGTCCATCGACAGATGAATGGATAAAGAAGATGTGGTATATATATACATACAATGGAATATCATGCAACCATCAAAAGGAATGAGATCTTGCCATTGGCAACGACGTGGATGGAACTGGAGGGTATTATGTTGAGTGAAATAAGTCAAACAGAGAAAGACATGTATCCTATGATCTCACGGATAGGAGGAATTCTTAATCGCAGGAAACAAGCTGAGGGTTGCTGGAGTGGGGGGTGGGGTGGGAGGGATGGGGTGACTGGGTGATAGACACTGGGGAGGGTAGGTGCTCTGGCAAGCGCTGTGAATTGTGCAAGACTGTTGAATCTCAGATCTGTACCTCTGAAACAAATAATGCAATCTATGTTAAGAAAAAAAAAAAAAGAGGGCGCCTGGGTGGCTCAGTTGGTTAAGCGACTGCCTTCGGCTCAGGTCATGATCCCGGAGTCCCGGGATCGAGTCCCGCATCGGGCTCCCTGCTCGGCAGGAAGCCTGCTTCTCCCTCTCCCACTCCCCCTGCTTGTGTTCCCTCTCTCGCTGTGTCTCCCTCTGTCAAATAAATCAATAAAATCGTAAAAATATATATCTTTAAAGAAATCCAGTTCCGGGACATCCGTGCCGTCCAACACTAGTACGGGGTGGGCGGGGGAGGTGCTCTAGAAGAGTTAAATATTGATGATGATGATGATGATGATGGAGAAGAAGAAGAAGGAGGAGGAGGAGGAGGAGGAGGAGGAGGAGGAGAACTGTTCCATGCTATTAAGGGTAAAACAAAAACAAGGCGTAGAACTTCCTCTGGCTCGTAAAGGGGGAAAAAAAAAATGGTTTGGGTTTTGTTTTTTGTTTTTTCTTTCTTCCTGTTTCAACTAAGCGCATTTCAGGGCACCTGACTGGCTCCGGTCGGAGGAGGCCCACGCGACTGCGACTCTTGATCTGCAGGGGTCGTGAGTTCCAGCACCATGCTGGATGATCACTCAAAAAGCTTTCAAAAACAAACACGCAAACAACCGACACCGAGCAGCATTAACCATCAAAGATACACACCTGTGACGAATACGACGTCAGAGGAAACCACGAGCAGCAGTAGCAGAGGATAGGACACTAGAGGGCAACAGAGCCCCATCCATAGGTGCTAGGGGCACTTGAACGCTTTCTGTGTCCACTAGGGACCTCGAAAAAACTTCACTCCCCTATCCAGGGAGGAGAGGGGAGAAGCAACCTCCAGCAAGAATTCCTTTGATTATCTTAATCGCAGGAAACAAACTGAGTGTTGTTGGAGTGGGGGGTGGGGTGGGAGGGATGGGGTGACTGGGTGATGGACACTGGGGAGGGTGTGTGCTCTGGTAAGCGCTGTGAATTGTGCAAGACTGTTGAATCTCAGATCTGTACCTCTGAAACAAATAATAATGCAATCTATGTTAAGAAAAAAAAAAGAAGAAGAAGAAGAAGGAGGAGGAGGAGGAGGAGGAGGAGGAGGAGGAGGTAGCAGGAGGGGAAGAATGAAGCGGGGGGAAATCAGAGGGGTAGACGAACCATGAGAGACGATGGACTCTGAACAACAAACTGAGGGTTCTAGAGGGGAGGGGGGTGGGAGGATGGGTTAGCCTGGTGGTGGGTATTGAGGAGGGCCCATTCTGCATGGAGCAGTGGGTGTTGTGCACAAACAATGAATCATGGAACACTTCATCTAAAACTAATGATGTAATGTATGGGGATTAACATAAGAATAAAATAAAAGAAAAAAAAAAGAATTCCTTTGATTAAAGGTAACTCTTACTACATTGAACTTCACCATTTCGGGGCACCTGGGGGGTGGCTCAGTCGTTAAGCGTCCGCCTTCGGCTCAGGTGACGAGCCCAGGGCCCTGGGATCGAGCCCCACATCGGGCTCCCTGCTCCGCGGGAGGCCTGCTTCTCCCTCTCCCACTCCCCCTGCCTGTGTTCTCTCTCTCGCTGTCTCTCTCTGTCAAATAAATAAATAAAATCTTTAAAAAGTAAATAAATAAATAAATAAATAAATAAATAAATAAATAAATAAATAAATAAATAAATAAAATAAACTTCACCATTTCAACATGGACCTTTAATGGTTTCCTTCCCAACCAAGCCTTTCTCCTTGCCTCCTCCTTACCCGCGTGAATCCCTGATCCCACTTCACAACATCCCCCCCCACACACACACACACCAGGCTGAAAACTGTTCTCTCTAAACCATAAATCCTGAGCATCAGGAAAGTACACGAGGAAACACAGACGAGAGAGAGAGAGAGAGAGAGAGAGAGAGAGAGAGAGAGACCAAGCAAATAATGTGGCTCTGAAGGCTGGACATCGATCGAGTTGAGAGAAAGGACCAGACATCACAAACTCGAAAAGAAGGTTTTCCTTTAAAGCTGATCTCTTCCTGAGTTGGCTAAACTACGTTCTTTACTGGTACGGCCTCCACTCAAGAGTGCGACGATCAAAAGAAGGTTTCGCAGTAAACACTTCACGGGTGCATCTATTAAAAAAAAAAAAGAAAAGAAAAGAAAAAAAAGGGCGCCTGGGTGGCTCAGTTGGTTAAGCGACTGCCTTCGGCTCAGGTCATGATCCCGGAGTCCCGGGATCGAGTCCCGCATCGGGCTCCCTGCTCGGCAGGGAGTCTGCTTCTCCCTCTGACCCTTCCCCCCTCTCATGTGCTCTCTGTCTCTCTCATTCTCTCTGTCTCAAATAAATAAATAAAATCTTTAAAAAAAAAAGTTCACGGGTGCAGGCTTCACATTGGTTTTTCAAGTACACGTATTTCAGGGCACCTGGCTGGCTCGGTCGGAGGAGGCCCACGCGACCGCGACTCTTGATCGGCGGGCGTCGTGAGTTCCAGCACCGCACTGGATGGGTGTACAGATTACATACACAAGCAGACAGGCAAAAGGAATTAGAATCGCTATGGTGATTTCGAAGAAAACAAAACAAAACTCAGGAAACAAAGTCGTCCTCTCCGGGCCCGTTTCATGCTTATGTATAGAGGCGATAGAGACCCTGTGATGTTGGCAGACAAAAGAGACAGGTCGGTGGATGGAACGCCACAGATACCCAAACAGATAGGCCCAAGCCCGACAGAAGTTTGACAAATGCGCAAAGGCCATTGGAAGGAGGAAAGACGGCCCACCTCCCCACGAAATCAGAGGGCAGGCATCAGACATCCACAGACCCAACACGCAGGCAAGCAGGCAGACAAAGAAACAAGAAAGCTGGGGCGCCTGGCTGGCTCAATCCGTGAACCGTCCGCCTGCCTTCGGCTCAGGCCCTGAGCTCAGGGTCCGGGGATCCAGCCCCACATCGGGCTCCCTGCTCGGCGGAGACTCTGCTTCTCTCTCTCTCAATCTCTCTCTCTCTCTCTCTCTCTCCCTCCCTCCCCCCTCCCTCCCCCCACCCCTCCTCTCAAATAAATAAAAGTCTTTTAAAAAGAATAATTTAAAAAAAAAAAAAAAGGAAGAAAAGAACGTCACTCACTCCCCTTCCGGCATAGGGAGGACATCTTCGGGGGGGGGCGGGGGATGGGGGGGATGCCTCTCGGGAGAAAAGGGGGAGATTCAGCGAGTCAGCGCACCCTCCTTGCACCTGTGTGTGGGGGGGGGGGGGGTGGTGGTTTGTGTGTTTCCTTGCCGCTGCTCGTTTTTTACAAGTGTATATAGAGTTCAAAACAGTATGCTGGTTTCCTTTATATCTAAGTCTTATCTCGGGTTTGGGTTCTGATGGGAGGAGGGAGGGCCACCTTTTCTTCCGACATGGTGGAGAAGGAGAAGAGGGATGCAGGCCTGTGCATATTCTTTTCCGTCGTGGGGTGAGCAGAGGACTCGGATTCAGCTCTTGCTGGATGGGATCTAATTTCTCTGTAAACAATCAGGCAAGATATCAGGCGAACAGAGGGCGAGCAAAGGTTAGCAGAACATGGACAAGATTGGCTATGGGTGCTGGAGTTTCCAAAGCAAGGATTTCATCAGAGGCACGTGAATGTCAAAGATTTCCAGGGACCATGTTCATGGATGACTTGGGGTATAGGTCATTTCAAAGTTACGGTGCTACCACCCGGTCACTTGAGCATACTGTCTCCAGCTCACGGCTGCAGATGCGATATGGGGCTCCTCCAGGGATGGAATTGTGCCAGAGAAAGGGAGACAGCAGCCTGTAATTGAGCCTAAGGTGTGTCTGAGAGAGTGACTCTCTAAAGTGCCTTGAGGCAGAAGGAGACCAGCTAGATTTGTCTTTGCTAGGTATTTGTGGCAATGGGGTCGGTGTGGCTGGTGGGTGTTGTCTGTTTATTTTCTAGATTCAGAGAAAGAACTCTTCAAGTGGAAGTATTTGCACAAGGGGTCTGGCAGGATGGGAGGGTGCAGGGGTCGGTCCATTTAACAAGATAACAGGAGGATCAGGCCTTTTAAGAACTAGGCAAAGAGAGGAGTTTAGCTTTGGTCATCACAGCACCTGGCACCTCAGCAGAAACAACAGAAGGTTCCCAGGATGAATTGAGTTGCAGGAGTCAGCGTGAGCAGACCCCACCACCCTCAGCCCTTATCCCTCAGCGCCCCCCCCCCCCGCCCCCCAGGCACACACACCCGGGCAGGCAGCGGCTATAGTCCACTCCGAGCTCCAGATCTGGGTCCCGCCCCCCCACCCCCACCCCCACCCCCACCCCCACAGGGCTCCCCTGTCCTCTTCTCAGCCAGAGATGTATATGGGAGGGTGGTCCCAGAACAAATCTCCCCTCATCCACGGAAACCTTGCCAACACTTCGACCACTTTGCCTGAGCTACCAACTCATCTGTACCCGTGCGTGATTTTTTCCCTATGGACCAGGGGCCTAGTTACCAACTTAGGATGGACAGCCCCCCCCCCCCCCCAGCCTACTGTTCCAATTCGACCAGAGGACTTCAGTTGGGGGGGGATGGGGGGGCTGGGGCTGGGGCTGGGGCGGCTGATGGGACGTTCAGGGTGATCCATTCTAATGGGCCTCATTCAATCGCTTCATTCAAATGCAGAAAGCTTTCTGTTAAAGTCAGAGCCTGGAGCTTCCCTCCATTCAATGGCTTTCCTCAACTCCCCCTAACCCTTAGGCTGCAGCTTGCAAACTTCGGAGAGAGATGAGGGAGGGAGGGAGGGAGGGACGGAAGGGAGGGAGGGAGGGAGGGAGGGAGGGAGGGAGGGAGGGAGGGAAGGGAGGGAGGGAGGAGGGGAAGGGGAAAGAGGGTGTCTGAAGAGCTCACCTCATCTGGGGGCAAAAAGAGTCCCCTCCTTTTCCTAACCCACGAAACTCCAGTAAACCCTTTGGGAATCATGAATGTGGGGGATGATGTCTTACTATACTGCCTTCCAGGGATGGGTGTGCAGGTAGGAGGGTGTGGCATGGTGTGGCTGGCTGAGTCTGAGGAGGACCTTGAACACATGATGGTGGTATCTTAGCGGTCAGAGGCCAAACACAAGCATGGAGTGATAAGGGCTAAGGGCTAAGGGCTAAGGGAGGCCTGACAGGGACCGTTCTAACTCATCCACCGAGTTATGGGCCCAGCAAGCACACTCCTCTAAATCAACATTAACAGTTTATTGATTGTTGGGGCACCTGGGTGGCTCAGTCATTAAGCATGTGCCTTCGGCTCAGGTCATGATCCCAGGGTCCTGGGATCGAGCTCCGCATCGGGCTCCCTGCTCCGCGGGAAGCCCGCTTCTCCCTCTCCCACTCCCCCTGCTTGTGTTCCCTCTCTCGCTGTGTCTCTCTCTGTCAAATAAATAAATAAATACAATCTTAAAAAAAAAAAAAAAAAACAGTTTATTGATTATCCATCGACCTGTCCTCCCTCTCCCACCTGCTTCCCAAGGGAAATCCTCGGTCTCATTCCACGTAGTCACTGGCTGTTTTCGCACACCACCTTCCTGTCCAGTAAGAGGAGGAAGGAAGATGGACAAACAGGAACCAGCCCCACAGATGGCACCTCTGCACAGAGGGGTGAGTGTGAGTCTCATTGGGCCAACTGTGACTCTGAGCCATGATCCCAGGGTTGTTTAAAATATGGAACAGAAGGAGCACCTGGGTGGCTCAGTCAGAACAGCACATGACTCTTGATCTCAGTCAGGGTCCTGAGTTCAAGCCCTACACTGGGACTACAGATGATGAAAAATGAATGAATGAATGAATGAATGAATGAATGAATGAATGAATGAATTTTTAAAAATAAAGTATGTAATGTTTATCTCTTTAAAAAAAAAAAATGGAATGGAGGGGCGCCTGGGTGGCTGCCGGTTGAGCATCTGCCTTCAGCTCAGGTCATAATCTCAGGGTGCTGGGATCGAGCCCCACCCCTCTGGGGCTCCCTGCTCAATGGGGAGTCTTCTCCCTCTCCCTCTGCCCCTCCACCCACCCATGCGTGCAAGCTCTCTGTCTCTCTGTCTCTCTGTCTCTCTGTCTCTCTGTCTCTCTCTCTCTCTGTGTGTTTCTCTCTCTGTCTCTGTCTCTCTCTGTGTGTCTCTCTCTCTGAAATAAATAAATAAAAACAAACAATCAAACTTCAAAAAGGAAAAGGGCAGGGACATTTATGATTATTCATGGCGAAAGTTGGAGCACGTATATTCAGGAAACATATGTACCATAGATTCCCATGTTTACTTCGGGGTGGAGACCTGACATCTGAATGAGGCAAAACTGAGTCCCTGATGTCAGGAGGTTATCTGAGGACAAGGAGAAGAGGCTGTGGGCATGCTCTGAGAGCTGGTACAACCTGGATGGGGTCTTAGGCTCCTTTTCTCAGGTAAGGAATCAGGACCTCGCTTCTTCATAGGCTGCAGCCATTATCAGTTGACCTTGAGTCCAGACTTCTGCAGAGACAGCCAGTATTTGGTAGCAGGGCCTGAAAAGACACAATAGCTGACTAGGGGGAAACAGTTCCCTGAAAAACCAGCTTTAAGCTTTCTGCTAGCATCAACCTCATTAACCTTATGGGGCACGGTTTCAATCCCCACCCCCACCCCCACCCCCACCCCCACCAAGTGAGGATCATTCCTCAGTCTTAGGGAATTGGGATGATGATGGCTGTGGCTATTCTTTCATCTCCTCAGGGGAGGTAGGTTTTGGGTAAACGACAGTTTCTGTAAATCTTAGCTGTAACATGGCTATGTTCAGGGCTAAACAGAAGTTTTTAACCTACAGGTTAAAAGGGAATAAAAATAACAGGGAGTCAGACATGCTACATTTTTCCCTGTTAAAATTTCCCCTTGTCCATCCTGCATTCCATTTCTATGACACATGGGCAGAGGTCTGCCTTCTTTATTTAACTGCTTCAAGCTGAATTAGGGTGCAGTAGAGGCTTTGGAATGGAAGGATCTGAGACACTGCAGGTCGCAATTTTTGGTCCCTTGTGCTAATGGAGGGGGTCTCAGAGATAGTTCCTTATCTGAGAACTTGGTTATTTTTCTACATGGTTTGGGACTACATGACACCATTGATTTTATCCCCAAGTGTAGTCTAAGGAATAGTAACAGTAGAGTCAAACCCAATTCTCTCATTCTCTCTCAAATTGATCTGATATCGGTGGGTATCCAAGAATACAGATCAGTAAATTAGTCTGAGCCCCTCCCCTGGGGGGGGGGCGGTAGGTTGTGGTGGTGAAGGGCTTCTGGTAGCCAAGTAGCTTAGTGTTTGATTTTATTTACATGGGTTCTTTTTTATTTTTTTTTTTCTTTAAAGATTTCTATTAAGTAATCTCTACACTCAATGTGGGGCTCGAACTCACAACCCCGAGATCTAGAGTCGTATGTTCTACCAGCTGAGCCAGCCAGGTGCCCCTATTTATATGGGTTCTTATTTTCCAAAGAGGAGTTAATACAGGTGCAGCAAGGTGGAATTAAGGATCATAGACTCTGCCTCATTCAGCAAGTGATCTTGTAGTTAATAAGAGGCATTTCTATGGAAACAAAAGGAAAACATGGTTAATGGTTGGAACAAGGGATACACCTGGTGTCTAAGTCCAGAGGGCTGCCAGTGAGAAGGTCTCTAGATGTCAGGCTTGAAGCATCCTCCAATAGAGTGGGAGTGGGCAGGGGCAATCTGACTAATTTTTCTGGCGTATAGTTCAAATGTCTCATTTTGAGTGACTCATAGAGCAACAGGCACAAAGATTGTCTATATATGAGTTATTGTGGTCATTTCCCTGAAATTTATTTCAAGTTGTCCAGCTTTCATTTGCCAGACTTCAGGAAAAAGGACAGTTTTAGTTCTTAATGATTGTAAGATAAGAGAATGGGAGAATGTTCTGAAACAAATAATGCAATATATGTTAAGGGGAAAAAAAGAAGAAGAAGAAGAAGGAGGAGGAGGAGGAGGAGGAGGAGGAGAAAAGGAGGAGGAGAAAAGAAGAAGGAGAAGAAAAGAAGAAGACGAAAAGAAGAAGAAAAGAAGAAGGAGAAGAAAAGAAGAAGAAGAAAAGAAGAAGAAGAAGAAGAAGAAGAAGAAGGAGAGAAGAAGAAGAAGAAGAAAAGAAGAAGAAGAAGAAGAAGAAGAAGGAGAGAAGAAGAAGAAGAAGGAGAGAAGAAGAAGAAGAAGAAGAAGAAGAAGAAGAAGAAGAAGAAGAGAGAAGAAGAAGAAGAAGAAGAAGAAGAAGAAGAAGAAGAAGAAGAAGAAGAAGAAGGAGAAGGAGAGAAGGAGAAGAAGAAGAAGAAGAAGAAGAAGAAGAAGAAGAAGAAGAAGAAGAAGGAGAAGAAGAAGAAGAAGGAGAAAAGAAGAAGAAGAAGAAGAAGAGGAGGAGGAGGAGGAAGAAGGAGGAGGAGGAGGAGGAGGTAGCGGGAGGGGACGAATGAAGCGGGGGGAAATCGGAGGGGCGGACGAACCATGAGAGACGATGGACTCTGAACAACAAACTGAGGGTTCTAGAGGGGAGGGGGGTGGGAGGATGGGTTAGCCTGGTGGTGGGTATTGAGGAGGGCCCATTCTGCATGGAGCACTGGGTGTTATGCACAAACAATGAATCATGGAATACTTCATCTAAAACTAATGATGTAATGTATGGGGATTAACCTAAGAATAAAAAAATAAATTAATTAAAAAAAAGAGAGAGAATGGGAGAATGTTGGAAACCTTAGTTTGAAGAGTCACAGTCAGATACTCAAGGAAACCAGAAGGATCCAGGATCCAGTCCAGTTTTATAGGCAAACAATAAACGTTCAAAGATAATTAATCTAACACTCACAAAAGTGTGTTATTGAAATGTAATCTTTCTCTCTAAAGTCACCTTCATTCCTGTCAAAGATAGCCAAAAGAAGATTAATTTGTTTGTAAAACAAGTCCAGTTTTAACAAACTTGGCCCAATCATCTACGTAGGGACAGCAAGAATAGCAATTGACCATATATGGGGTCTTTCTTCTCTTTTCTTTTTCCTTTCCTTCTTTTAAATCTGCTTTGATGGAGCTTTTTACAAGGAATTTTAGATTGATCCTTTAACTGCCTTTTTAAAGCCGAGAACCAAGCCAAATATTGGCCATCAGATTCGCCTGCAAGACTTGTAGATTTGCGGAGGGGTAGACGAACCAGGAGAGACGATGGACTCTGAACAACAAACTGAGGGTTCTAGAGGGGAGGGGGGTGGGAGGATGGGTTAGCCTGGTGGTGGGTATTGAGGAGGGCGCATTCTGCATGGAGCACTGGGTGTTGTGCACAAACAATGAATCATGGAACACTACATCTAAAACTAATGATGTGATGTACGGGGATTAACATAAGAATAAAAAAAATTACAAAAAAAAAAAAGACTTGTAGATTTGGGTGAATTCCTCTCTTCTTTGAGGGCCTCCAAATTTCCTGAAGTTCCTGCATCTGCCAGGAGGTGGTACTCTTCACTCACCTGGTAAGGTTGAGGGGACCTCTCTAAGCAAGGTTATCAGGCCAACATTTCTAAGGGGCTTTACTGGCTCCATAAAGTCAATCTGACTTTCTTAAAGCAGTCTCACCATATCTGAGTCTACGCATGTGTCTCTTCGAGATGACAGTCCAGGGGCACCTGGCTGGCTCAGTCGGTAGAGAGCACGACTCTTGATCTCAGGGTTGTGAGTTCGAGCCCCACGTTCAGTGTAGAGATTATTTAAAAAATAAAATCTCGGAGGAGCGCCTGGGTGGCTCAGTCGTCAAGCGTCTGTCGGCCTTCGGCTCAGGTCATGATCCCAGGGTCTTGGGATCGAGCCCCACATCGGGCTCTCTGCTTGGCCGGGAGCCTGCTTCTCCCTCTCCCGCTCCCCCTGCTTGTGTTCCCTCTCTCGCTGTGTCTCTCTCTGTCAAATAAATAAATACAATCTTAAGAAAGAAAAAAAGAGTACACTAACAATCCAAGAAAACCTTGTCATTTTAACATAGAAAACCCAAATCTCAATCTTATACCAGTGTGCTTTTCTTCTTCTTTTTTTTATTCTTATGTTAATCCCCTACATTACATCATTAGTTTTAGATGTGGTGTTCCATGATTCATTGTTTGTGCACAACACCCAGTGCTCCATGCAGAATGGGCCCTCCTCAATACCCACCACCAGGCTAACCCATCCTCCCACCCCCCTCCCCTCTAGAACCCTCAGTTTGTTGTTCAGAGTCCATCGTCTCTCATGGTTCGTCCGCCCCTCCGATTTCCCCCGCTTCATTCGTCCCCTCCCGCTACCTTCTTCTATTTTTTTTTTCTTCTTCACATAGATTGCGTTATTTGTTTCAGAGGTACAGATCTGAGATTCAACAGTCTTGCACAATTCACAGCGCTTGCCAGAGCACCTACCCTCCCCAGTGTCTATCAGCCAGTCACCCCATCCCTCCCACCCCACCCCCCACTCCAGCAACCCTCAGCTTGTTTCCTGCGATTAAGAATTCCTCCTATCCGTGAGATCATAGGATACATGTCTTTCTCTGTTTGACTTATTTCGCTCAACATAATACCCTCCAGTTCCACCAGTGTGCTTTTCAAACTGCCTTCTCCCAAGCTCAGTCAGTCCTGACCATGCATAAAATTCCTTTTCAAAAATTCTCCTTCACAAACCCCTTCCACAATTTCCTTTTTCATTCAGACTCGGTCTTAAAGTTTTCTTTCTTTAAGTACCCAGTCCCGTTTCAGTACACCATTACTTCCTTTTCCCTCAACAAAAAAAATGTTTTCTCATTTCTTGTACCTCTTTTACACGTCTCCTACCTTCCCACACACGGAGTTGTTTTTGTTATCATTTTGTAGCAGTCCCAATTCCATGTGGCAGAATTTTAATTCTTAGAAATCTCAGTCTCTGGTGAAACGTTAGTAGTAACCAATGGCGCACTCTCTATTACACCAGAATTCTTTAGATTGGCAAATGTATGAATATATTTCATAAATTTTATTTATTTGACAGAGAGAGACACAGCGAGAGAGGGAACACAAGCAGGGGAAGGGACAGAGGGAAAAGAAGGTTCCCCAATGAACAGGGAGCCCAATGCGGGGCTCGATCCCAGGACCCTGGGATCATGACCTGAGCCGAAGGCAGACGCTGAACGACTGAGCCACCCAGGCACCCAAACGTGGTTGGTTGGTTGGTTGGTTTTTATAAAGGTGATGGAGAGGTATATTTTGATAACCACAAATACAGGCTCACTGTTGTGACGGGAGCGTGGCACATTCCACTGCCCACCCAACGGCTTGTAACGCAGGGAGAACCGAATCCAAGTGCTTTTATGACAAAGAAAAGAAAGAAAAGGAAAGAAAGAAAGAAAGAAAGAAAGAAAGAAAGAAAGAAAGAAAGAAAGAAAGAAAGAAAAAGGGAAAGAAAGAAAGAAAGAAAGAAAGAAAGAAAGAAAGAAAGAAAGAAAGAAAGAAACGCAAAGTTGATTATTTGTATTATGTGTGACATTGATAGCTCCAAAACCACGTCTTTTTAAAATAAACCAACAACCTTGAATTGGCTTTAACGCCAAAGAAGTTGCACCTGCGTCCACTAAAAAGTCAATCGATTGTTTTCCCCCATCAGACTCCTTGGGGAAAGTCTGAAGCGGGCGGTCTAAGATCAGCGGAGCCCTCGGGCCCCTTCCTGCTAGTTTGGGAGGTGCTCCAATTTAAACCTCATAAGGAGGTGGCCCAAGGGCTTGGGCCCAAGGGCAAGGGCTTTTGCTCCTTGATAAGGGGGTGGGGAGGAGGAGGAGGAGGAGGAGGAGAAAGGGGAGCCCATGGCACCCGGGGGGGGGGGGGCGGGGGGGCGGGGGTAGGGAAGGGCGGCTGAGACGGCGGCAGGGGAGTAGAGCACTCCAGGCACACACACCAGTGGTGCAGAAACGGGGCAGGGGAGGCGGCAAGGGAGCCATTGGTAAGGCCCAGGGCACATATACATTTACAGTTTTGGACGAACCTTTTCTTTTTTTTCTTCTCCGCCTCCGCCTCCGCCTCCGCCTCCGCCTCCGCCTCCGCCTCCGCCTCCGCCTCCGCCTCCGCCTCCGCCTCCGCCTCCGCCTCCGCCTCCGCCTCCGCCTCCGCCTCCGCCCCTTTCTTCATCTCCTTCTGCTTAATAGGCTTTGTCTGTGGTGGCTTTTCAGCCCTCCGGAAGCCAGTGGGTTGGGCATCGGTTCTGGTGCCTGTACTTGGGGAGGAGGAGGAGTGGATTTCAGATTTCTAGCATCGGCCTGTCTTCCTCCTCTTCTTCATTATTTTGACTGTTGGGAAGTGGGGGTAAGGTCAGGTGTGTTAAATTTTTGTCTATCTCTGGGCCGTCCCTTGGGTCCCTTACCTTGAGGCATCTTTATTGTGGAGTGACATAAGAGTCTGAATGTAGGGAATTTCATCCCAGATCATGTGAGCTTGAAAAACTGGGTTTATTCTTATCTGAGTTTTACCATGCCCGATTTTTACGAGCACCTGCCTCTAAACTCTTTAAGTAGGGGCACCTGTGTGGCTCAGGCAGTTAAGTGTCTGCCTTGCGTTCACATCATGATCCTGGGGTCCTGGGATGGAGCCCCACATCCGGCTCCCTGCTCCGCGGGGAGTCTGCTTCTCCCTCTCCCAATGCCCCCCCACCCCCAGCTCGTGTGCTCTCTCACTCGCTTTCTTTCAAAGACATAAATAGAATCTTTAATAAAAATAAAACTCGGGGCACCTGGATGGCTCAGTGGTTAAGCGTCTGCCTTTAGCTCAGGTCATGATCCGAGGGTCCTGGGATCAAGCCCCTGCATCGGGCTCCCTGCTCGGCGGGAAGCCTGCTTCTCCCTCTCCCACTCCGCCTGCTTGTGTTCCCTCTCTCGCTGTGTCTCTCTCTGTCAAATAAATAAATAAAATCTTTAAAGAATAAAATAAATAAAATAAAATAAAATAAAATAAAAATAGAACTCATTAAATAGAGCTCCTTTACAAATGGATGTTAGCAATAGCACCCGGAGGTGGAGGAAATACCTCACATGTATAACACATACGGACACATAGACACAAACAAGATGCAAACAAATTTTAGCCTTTGTTTCAGTCTTATTTGTGGAGAGGACATGAATGGAGAGGACACGAAAGACCCAATGTTCAAATCTCCCTCTTTTAGTAAAACAAATGCAACTGCGAAGCAGCATTACCGTGTACAGATCCCACCCGTCAGTTGTTTTCCATTCCCAATGGAAACAGGGTCGGTTTTATGCAAAGATAGCAAAAGCTGCAGCAACCAACCAACCAACCAACCAACCAACCAACCAACCAAATGAAGACCAGAGCATCTCCCTGAGTGTTGGTTCCTCCCCAAAAGTCGGGGCTTCACTGAGGGAACCAAAGAGCTTCCTAGTTTCTGATCACCCAGTCTCCTAGCAGGCTTTCTCTAATTGTGTACACAATTCAGACATGTCAAAAGAACCCCGCTTGGGCCATCTGAGACTCATGTTATCGTGAAATGTTTCCCATGCAAGTAAGCACTTGCAAGTATAGGCTCCCTATGCATTGTACATGTAGCGTGCAGGTGTTTCTTGTGAGGGTGGGCCGTTGTTTCCTCAACATTTGGTGCAGGGTTCTACAGAGTTTTGGTTTGTTTCGTTGGTTTGGTTTTCTGCACACGTGTGTGTGGGGGGGGGGTGTGGTGTGGTGTGTTGTGTGGTGTGTATCTGTGTGCACGGTATCTATCGCTGCTGCGCAGCTAGCTGATCCTCAGGGTGCATCATCCTAACACCGCAATGGCTCGAAACAGCATTTCTTTATCGATAACTTCCTGGTGCTTGCCCTGGGTGGCCCCTTGGGTTCTGCGGGTTTACGCCGGGCTCACTCAAGCAGTGGCTTTCGGCCAGAGGGTCAACTTTCACACGTCTGGCAGTCGGTGCCGCCGAGCACCGGGCTGCCTCTGTTGTCAATGCCTCTCATGCTCCAGTCAGCTAGACTGGCTTTCTTACGTGGAGGTCTCAGGACGGCATGCCAAGAAGGTCGAGAACGCCGGCAGACCACCTCTTCAGGTGTAGGCTGTGAAACCAGCCAAGTGTCACTTCTGCTCTATTCTTTGGGTCAAGACAAGTCCCAAGACCCGGTCCAAAATCAAGGGACAGAGCAATCAAGCCTACCTCTGGATAGCAGGAGCATCGAAGTCATAGGACGTGAGGGTGCACACGTGCCGGGACGTGAGGGACACACGGTTGTCGGTCTGCCACAAGGGATTCCTAAACCCTATGCCGCGATGCACATTTTTGCAAAAGTAAGCTTTACGTTTTAGCATCTAAAACATGATTTCCTTTGAATCAACCCCTAGAATTGGATTCACCAGGAAGAAGGGGAAGATGCGTTTTCCAGCCTCTTGATACAGAAGCTCTTGATTTCCAGAGGGCACTTGGAGGACCCTTCACCAGTCTCTGCTTTGTAAGGCGGGGGGAATTTTTTTTTTTTAAGATTTTATTTATTTATTTATTTGTTTGTTTGTTTGTTTGTTTATTTATTTGAGACAGAGAGAGAGAGAGAGAGAGAGAGAGAGAGAGAATGAATGAGAGAGAGCACATGAGAGGGGGGAGGGTCAGAGGGAGAAGCAGACTCCCTGCTGAGCAGGGAGCCCGATGCGGGACTCGATCCAGGGACTCCAGGATCATGACC